GCGATGCCTCGCCCTGCTTCACCTGTGGCTGGTCGGGCTGCAGCAGCTGACCAGCACCGATTGTCTGGCACTCCCTAGTGAGATGAACCCAGTACCTCAGTTGAAAATGCAGAAATCACCAGTCTTCTGTGTCGCTGGCGTTGGGAGTTGGAGACTGGAGCTGTTCCTATTTGGCCATCTTGCTCCACCCCCCAATAAGGTATCTTTTTGTGTTTTGTAGTTTTTTCTTTTTTGCTTTGGAGTCCACTTTATCTGATATTAACTACTGCTTTCTTTTGATTAATTTTTGTATAACATATCCTGCTGTCCTTTTACACTCAGCTAGCTTGTATCACTGTATTTAGAATGAGTTATTTTGTGGACTCCATATAGGTTGGTCATATCTACCTGTATACTCTGACTGTCTCTTTGAGTACATTGATATAATTTACATTTAATGTAATTATGGATGTATTAGGATTTAAGTCTGCCATTTTATTTTATTATATACTGTTCCCGTTTTCTCTATAAAATAATTTTTTATTTTTCTCTTTTCTTTGTCCTGCCTTCTCGTGGTTTAATTGAAATTTTGAAAAGAATTCCATTTTCACATGTACGCATGTCTAGATATATAGTGTTTTTGAATGTATCCGTTTGTAGAGCTCTTTTAGTAGTTATCCCTAGGCTTATATCATATATGCAGAACTTATAGTCAGCTGTTGTTGTCATTTTTTCCAATGGAGTAAATTATAGAAACGTTATCTTCTTGTATATCACTTTACCTCTTTGATAATATAATTGTTTCAGTTATTTTTCTACATAAACTAAGAATCATATGTTAGTATTATAGTTTTTGCTTCAACCATCAAATCTAATTAAGAAAATTCAAGAGAAAAATGAAAGTGTATTATATTTACCCATGGATTTGCTTACATTTTTTTCTTGTTAGTGTAATTCCATGGTTTTTTGTTTCATCATTTTCTTTCTGCTTAGAGAATTTTCTTTCACCTTTATTTTTAGGGTATTTCTGTTGGTGACAAATTATTTTCATTTTCCTTCATCTGAAAATGTTTTGATTTCTCTTCCATGCCTGAAATGTATTTTTGGTAGGTATAAGATTCTAGATTGACAATGCTTTCCTTTCAGCATTTGACAAATGTGCCACTTCCTTCTGTCTTCTATATTTTCAGTGAAAATTATAGGAATTTGTATTTTAAATATTTTATACTTATTTTTCAAAAATCTAGAATGTAAAATACATGTAACATTTACCATGAGTGACATTTAGTACATTCATAATGTTTTACAAACATCACCGTTATTATGCTCCAAAACGTTTTCATTTCCACAAACAGAAACTTCCAAGCCCATTAAGCAGTCACGTTGTTTCATCCTCCTGCTCCTGACAACCATTTGACTTCTTTCTGTCTCTGTGTATTTGCCTATTCTGAATATTTCGTGTACATGAAATTATGTAATAGGTGTCTTTTGCGTCTGCTTTCATTCAGCATATTGTTTTCTGAGTTCATTCATGTACATTCCTTTTTATGACTGAATAATGTTTCACTGCAAGTATACACGATTCTTTTTTTTTTTTATTTTTGAGATGGAGTCTCGCTCTGTCTCCCAGGCTGGAGTGCAGTGGTGCCATCTCACCTTACTGCAACCTCCACCTCCTGAGTTCAAGCGATTCTCCTGTCTCAGCCTCCTGAGTAGCTAGGATTACAGGCACCCGCCACCATGCCCAGCTAATGTTTGTGTTTTTAGTAAAGACAGGATTTTGCCATGCTGGCAAATCTGGTCTCAAACTCCTGACCTCAGGTGATCTCCCCACATTGGCCTCCCAAAGTGCTGAGATTACAGTTGTGAGCCCCCGTGCCCGGCTGGATATATACCATTCAGTAATATGAACAGCTCATTTATTTATCAGGTGATGGACATTTGGGTTGTAAACAGCTTTTGGCTATTGTGACTGGTGCTGCTATCTTTTATGGTTTCGATGAAAAATTTGCTGATAATTAATATAATTTTTTTCACTATAGGTAAGGTGTTTCTCTCTTGTCAATTTTTTCTTTTCCCATAGTATTCCAAAATGACTATGTTGTAACTTGTTGTGTATTTCCTTGGTTTTCTTCCTGCTTGGGATTCATTCAACTTCTTGAACCTTTATGTCTTTTTCCAAATTTGGAAGTTTTGTGTCATTTTTTAAATTTTACATTTCAAATTAGACTTTATTTTTTAAAGAGTTTTAGGTTTCCAGAAATATTGTGCAGAAAGTACAGGCTTTTCCTCTCCATCCCCCACTTCAGTTTTCCTATTATTAACATCCTGCATTAGTGTGGAACATTTTTTATAATGGATGAACCGGTATTGATACACTATTAATATTATTATTTACATTAGGGTTTACTCTTTGTGTTGTACAGTCCTAAGGGTTTTACCAAATGCACAGTGTTATGTAGCTGTCGTTATAGTACCATGCAGAATAGTTTCACTGCCCTAACAATGCCCTTGTGTGCCACCTGTTCATCCTTTCCCACTTCCCCTAGGAACCTTGGCAACAACTGTGTTTTTTTTACTGTCTCTATGGTTTTGCTTTTTCTAGAATATCATATAGGTGGAGTCATACAGTATGTAGCCTTTCAGATTGATTTCTTTCACTTAGCAATATGCAGTTAATGTTTTCCCTATGTTTTTGTGGCTTTATAGCTCATTTCTTTTTATTGCTGAATCATATTTCATTGTATGGATGTGCTACAGTTTGCTTATCCATTCACCTGTTGAAGGACATCGTAGTTGCTTCAAAGTCTTGGCATTTATGAAGAAAAATGCTATAAGCTTTTGTATGCAGTTTTTTTGTATGGACATCAAATTTTCAACTCATTTGAGTAAATACTTAGGTGTGTAATTACTGGATCATATGGTAAGGCTATGTTTAGTTTTGTATGAAACTGCCAGAGCGTCTTTTAAAGTGACTATACCATTTTGTATTCCTACCAGCAATGAATGAGGTTGCGTCACATCCTCACTAGTATACCATTATTTCTTTATGTACTTTTTCAGTCCAACTGTCCCGTGGGGCAGTTCTGATACCGCCAGAGAAGGCTGATGGAGGGAGTCCTATTAATGCTGGTTAGGGGTGTAAGTCCAGATCATCCAGGCAATCTCCACTGCCACTGTGTGGTGGGAGCTTGTTACTAGCTACTGGAGAAGGTTTTCGGGTCCCCAAACAGCCAGCCACCTCTTATGCTACCCCAGTATAGGTCTGAGTGCTTCGTTACTGCCTGATGATGGTGAAAGTCTAGTATCTCCAATTGACCTTGCTTGTGTGGGTGGAGATTAGGTCACAGTTTTTTGGAGTTGGGGGCAGAAAGGGGTGCTGTTTGACAGCAGTATAGTGGCTATTGTTTAAAAGTTTTCTGTCTTAATAGGATGACCTTTTCCTGGTTCTTTGGCTAGAGAGAGCAAGTTTTTGTTGGAGTTTCTTTCTGTCTGTGCTTGTTGATGCTTCCAGGTTTCCAGCTTCTTCACTTTCAAATAGCCTGATATATATGCAAAAAGATAAACTAGGGAATTCACCACTATGTTTTTTTGTGTCTCCCACAATCCCTAGTTGATCTGCCTTCTTCTCTCTACCTTTCAGAATATTTTTATTTTGGTTATGTATGTATATATATTCCAGAGTTTTTAGGTATGCACTAGGTGTTTATTTGGAGGAAAACTGAAATGTATGTTTCTTTCATCTTCTCAGAAGTGTATGCTAAGCATGTATATTTTAAAGCTTTTTACTATCAATTCCTTTTTTTAAAAACAGATAAACAATAGTCATCATTTAGCTATGGTTACATGCGGTTGCATTTTAAATCCTTTTTTAAGTCCCTCTATTCTCCCATATTAGGAGTTTACGTTAGCATATGCTCTTTTATTATGAGCCAACACACAGAATTTGTTACTGTAGTCTAATTGCTTATAGCCTTCATTGGGATGATTATTGGTGGTAGTGTGGGCCACAGAGTATAAAAAATATTTAGGACGTGTGTGTGTGTGTGTGTGTGTGTGTGTATGTGTGTATGTGTGTGTTTAAGACAGGTTCTTGCTCTGTCACATAGGCTGGAGTACAGTGGTGCTATGATAGTTCACTATAGCCCCAACTTCTGGGCTCAAGTCATCCTTCCAAGTAGCTAGGACTACAGGTGTGCACCTCAGCCTCCCAAGTAGCTAGGAGTACAGGTGTGCACCATCACACCTGGCTAACTTTTTAATTGTTTGTAGAGACAGGGTCTCCCTATGTTGCCCAGAGTAGTCATGGGCTCCTGACCTTTAGCAGTCCTCCCACCTCAGCCTCCTAAAGCACTGGGATTACAAGCATGAGCCACCAAACCTGTAAGCCATTCATGTTTTATTTGAAGAGCATTTTATACATCAGGAGATGGGGTGAAACATTGATTGGAAAACTGACGTGTTTTTTTTTTTTTTAAATACGCTACTTATTCTTTAGGGATTGGAATCAAATTATGGTAAATAAAGTAGAAACAGTTTTGGAAAGAGTAAAAGAAGACATATTTTAGAAGTTCTCGAGTTGATTCACTCCTGTGAACATTAATGTTAGCTAGAATCTGAGAATTGTTTTTCCAGCTCAGAGCTAGATAATCTGTAAGTTGTTGGTTAGATGATGGTATTAGTTTTGGAGATATGTGACAAGTTTTGTACATAATACTATATCTGGAGAGTGAATTGATGGACCATCTCTAATCTATAACTCTTTTAAAATTAAAATTTAAAGTTTTATTTTTGCAGTGCTAAAGATCATGGTTGTCTCCTGAGGATAGATTTTGATTGCATATGGCCATGAAATTCCTACCTAATATACTTTGTACAGCTCTGCATACTTAATGTGCAAAGTGGTTGCTGTAGCAGGAGATCTACTATGTTTCTGTGCTGAGATCTGATTGCTATTTTTGTATATATGAATGTTAATCACAGTTTATTTTTTCTAATGGGAAATATTTTCTCTTTTACAGGGGATCTTTCCTGCAAATTACATTCACTTGAAAAAGGCAATTGTCAGTAATAGGGGGTGAGTAATTGGCCTTACTAAATTTATTTACAATTTTTATAGGCTATAGAGGAGGATTGTTTTTCTTTTTGGTTCATAGTATAAAATATACCATTGACATGTTTTCCTGGCAAAAATGTACATGCTTTATCATGTAATTCTAAGGGAATAATGTTTTCTTAAAATACAGACAACTTTAATCTGTTTTCTTGTATATGAAAGAAGTGACGTTAGCTGTGAATTTTATAAAATAAATTAGGCATGCAGTATGTTTTAAAAAATTATGTACTATTTTGAGCATAGTCATTCATAGGGTAGGAGTTAAAGAAAAATATGTCATTTTGTTTTTACAAAGTGAAAGAGACTTTTAAAATTTTTTATTTGCAAGTTGAAATTGAAAAAGTTTAAAGGTGTACCTTAACCATAAGAAGACAATATACAAAACGGTTTATCACAAATTTTAAAAACAAAGCAATCTCCCTAAAAAGAGACAAGAAATAAATATATCAAAGTGTTACCACTTGTTTTTGCATGTTGGGAATATGAATGAGTTTTCAAAAAATTCTTTATTGTGTTCTGTTTTTAAAAATAGTAAGTATTATAGTTTTGATTTTATTTTTCAAAATTTATTATTTTAAAACATAAAATGTAGGTACTATATAATTTGTAACCAAGGTAGCTTCCTAAAGTAGAAATACTGTTCTTGACTGGAGGGTGAGTAAGCATCAGAGTAACCTTCTGGTCAGTTAGGGTTCATTCAGGAAAATAGAAACATGAGTCACTTTATGAGGTGGAATTTAATGTGGGAAATTATTTACACACGTTTGAAGAGTGAAAGAACAAAAGAGGAAATCCTGATGTAACCCATAGATTATAACTGCATAAAGCGGCCTACACATTAATGGTGGGGATACAAAAGATAGTGGGTTGGGGATACCGAAACCCAGGAACTCAGAAATTAGATCTAGAGACACTGGAGCTCAGAAATTTGAGGAGGAAATATCAAATAGCTACTGTTGGTATGTGTAAAGAAGGTGGTAATGAGGCTGTTTTGGGGAATGCCAAAAGCAACTGGAGGCTGGAACCAATTTTCACTGAAAGAACTTGTTTACAGGAACAGCAGGAAACACACTTCTTTACCTTCTTTTCCCCAGTATCTTTCTAATGCTCCCAGCTGGCAATGGAGACTGCAGAACACAGCTTGCGGATTTTAGCCTCATGATTAGTACTTAGAAGAATAGATTTGGAGATGATAGTTATTATTAATTGTCTTGTATGCCTTCCAATATAAAATTTGTGTTGGGGAAATAGTAAGAATATAACTTAGAAGATTCTGATATGAATCCACAACTAGCATACTTCTTATTCTTCTCTTTCTCCTTTTACAAAACATGTAAAGCCATAAGGACATAAAAAAGAAAAACAACTTATACATCTCATGTTTATGAACCTTTGCAGCAAATAATCTGCCATCTCAAGTTTATAAGTAAAGACTATCAAAAGTATCGAGCCTGGATAGAAGTGTGAGAAAAGGAAAAGAGAGTATTTCGACTTGGGATTAGCAAAGCATATATTTTGGAAAGTGCTTAAAAACATTTTCTGAATGTGAATGGCTTATTACAAAATTCAGAAATAATATCCTTGATTTATCAGTAATGAGGCTGATCAGAGCTGAAAGTGGGCAGAAGCTATGAGGGACCAAGGTGAGAAAAGGAGATATAGATAGTATCTAGGGATTCTGAAATAGAGTGCCTTAGAAAATATCAGCAAAATCATACACTTTCTGATGATAAGGAACTTACCCTAAGTTCATGAGTCATATGTCCCATTTATAATAGTTACAAAGGACATTGGGGAACACTTTGCTAGCAGAAGAATCCCCACCTGGATTCAGTTTGCTTCAGGAAAGTAAAAGTGTTGTGGCTGTACATAAAATTACACACAGAGAAGCCATATTTGCTGGAAGTGGGATGTAAAGACGGGCGGATCACGAGGTCAGGAGATCGACACCATCCTGGCTAACACGGTGAAACCCCGTCTCTACTAAAAATACAAAAAACTAGCCGGGCGAGGTGGCGGGCGCCTGTAGTCCCAGCTACTCCGGAGGCTGAGGCAGGAGAATGGCGTAAACCCGGGAGGCGGAGCTTACAGTGAGCTGAGATCCAGCCACTGCAGTCCAGCCCGGGCTACAGAGCAAGACTCCGTCTCAAAAAAAAAAAAAAAAAAAAGAAAGCTATTTAGAATTTACTTCCATATTCAAATGTCCAATAAGTTGGTGGTCCAGAATAAAAATTCTAAAATCTGGAGAAAATATTAAAAAACAATTGTCTACAGGCACTGGAGAACAATTGGTTGGGCAAGACCAATCTTGAGGGGCTGTGATCTTTGATGGAAGGGATGTGCACAAGGAGAGATTCATGATTACTTTGGCCTTTTTCTCCAGAAAATTTTTCATTTTACTATGTTGTAGTGGAATAGAACCCAACCAGAAAGTAGTAGTCTTTCATGACATCAGCAATTTGGCAGAATAAGAAGTTTCAGCTCTCATCCCCCTACAGAAACACAGATTTAACAATGGTATACCAAGAAAAATACCTTTATAAGAGGTCCAGTATCCAGTGAAGAAGTTGCAGTACTCCAGAGGAGCACAAAACAGAGAGTAGACACATTGAAATGGCTAAGAAGAGCAATTTCACTCTTAGCTTTGTCAGTCCCTTCTCCCAGCTGGTTAAGAGAGAATTTGTCCCAGACTGTGACTCCTCCAGTGGGGCAAAGAACAAGTGGACTGTACAACAAACATCTCTAGCATTTGTGGGTGCTGCTTGAATGACCTCTTTCTATCCCACCTCACCCAGAGTGCTGGAGTAGCCAGCATAATTTAAACTTGCGGGGGAAGCTAAGAACAAAGAAAAGGAGTGAGAGGCTCACTGCAGCTTGCTTGTCTCTGCAAGATTGGAAAAAGTGCACAACCCTCAGATTTCTGTAGGAGGGAGGGAGAGGAGTGGGAGCAGTAGCCCATCATTTCAGTGCCTCACTCTAGAGAAAAGTGGAGGGCAGGCAACTGTGGCCAGTAGAGCTCTGCAGGGTTGGGAGAAGGTGCATATCTGTGAGTCTTCTGCTTCAGAAGGGAATGAGAAGAATGAAGCATGCATCCTGGAATTTTAGAGTACTGCCCTAGGGAAAAGAGATGGGCCTCTTACTGTGGCCATCATTTCTTTGTGAGATTGGGAGAAGGCACACAACCCTGAGACTCTCAGGATGGATGGTGGAATGAAGTGCGTACATTCATAGAATAGATTTGAGAGGTTCCCAGAATCTGGTTGAGCTGATTGGTTGAGGGTCTTTGTCTATTGAAGTCAGTCCATAAAGACAAAGACTGGGAGGAGTGGTTGTTTCTTCAAATGTACAGGCCCCAGAGCAAAGCTGCAAGGAAGATGAAGAATCAGGAATACATGACACAATCAAAGGAACAAAATAAATATTCAATAACAGACCCTAAAGAAAAGGAGTTCTATAAATTGCCTACAAGACAACTCAAAATAATAGTCTTAAAGATTACCTAACTAAATGAGTTACAAGAGAACACAGATAGACAACTAAATTAGGAAAATGAAAAGTGAAAATCATGAGAATACCAACAAAGAGACAGAAACCATAAGAAAGCAAAGAACCAAACAAATTCTGGAGCTGAAGAATACAATAAATAATACAAAAATTCTATAGAGAACTTCAACAGCATTCTTGATCAAATAGAGGAGTGAGTCAACTTGAAGATAGGTCATTTGAAATGATTCATTCAGAGAATCAAAAAGGAGAAAGAGTGAAGAAATCCTAAGAAACTAAAAGGACACCATCAAGCAAACCAGTATGCTCAATATGGGATTATCAGAAGGAGGGCAAGAGAGAGAGGAAGAGGGAGAGCAGGAAGAGAAATGAGCAGGAAACTTATTTAAAGAAACAGTGGCTGAAAACTTCCCAGATCTGGGGAGGGAAATGAACATTGATCCTTGAAGTCCAAACAACCCCTTTAAGAGGAATCCATGCTGAGACGCATTGTGGTCAAATTGCCAAACGTCAAAGAGAATTTTGAAAGTAGCAAGATGAAAAGGACTTGTCTTATATAAGAGAAACTCCATAAATCTGCTATTAGCAGATTTCTCAGCCAAAACCTTATAGACCAGAAGGGAGCAGGATGATATATTTAAAATACTGAAGGAAACAAAAAAACTCTGTCAACCAGTACCCAGCAAAACTGTCCTTCAGAAATGAAGTAGAGAGAAAGGCTTTCCCAGATAAACAAAAGCTGAGGGAGTTCACCACCACTAGACCTGCCTTATAAAAAAATGCTAAAAGGAGTTCTTTAAGTTGAAACAAAATGATGCTACACAGCAACAAGAAAGCATACAAAAGTACACAATTCACAGGCAAGGGCAAATATATACACATATACAGAATATTTGAATACTGTAAAGATAGTATATAAACAATTTTAGTCTAAGAGTTAAAAGACAGAAGTATTAAGAATATAACTACAAAAACTTGTTAGTAGATGCACAATATAAAATATGTAAATTGTGTCATAAACAATAAAACATTTGTTGTGGAAATTAAAATTGTCAGGTTTTTGGTTTTGATTTTTTTTTTTACAGCATGCAAATCTTTTAAGTTTAACAAATATTAATTACTTTTAAGGGAACTATGAATAATGATTGGTTCTGTTTACATAGTTGGTTAATTAAGCTTTATTCTTATATATTCTTCCCTTCTGTTAGGTCACACAACTCTTAAGTGTTAAAACAATGTTCTGTTGAATTCTAGGTCTCCCAGCTGTTTTTGACTATTTGGTCACAATTCCAAATTGTTATTCTGACTGCTAAGTGATTTATTTTCAAAGTATTCCTCCAGTAATGTTAAAGGTCTAGTTTCTACCACTTCTTCTATTAAAGGAAATTTTAATTTTTTTTTTATCAGTTGGGATAAAAACTTCAAACAAAAAACATCAGAAATGAATCACATAAAAA